GCCGAACGTGTCCTAAATATTTACTAAAAACTCACCAACCCTAAGAACTACTTTTCCCAAGGCAACACGATATTACGATACCTCCCCCCACAGCTTGTTTAGATAAGATGCCGTATAATCTCATGAGATCCACTATCATACACCCGCCACCCCAGGATAGGTTTTACCACAGTTTGACAAGTTAACAGAATTGCAAATGCCACTTCATAAGATCCAACACGTGTCGGGTGCCGACCTTATAACCATGCCAGGAAAACACTGATCCTTCTCAAGAGCTTTCGACTATGCATACGAATCCGGAGATTACAATTGCTGACGGAGATAGTGGATCTCCCGAATTTTGCAGCAAGCACCGACTCGTACACGGCTAACAAAAAGGTCAGAATGTCCCTTGAGGCTCAGAAAACAATGAGGAAAGCTCCGACCAAAATCCAAATAACACCCATGGAAAACCTCCAATCGTCCAACAGCAGGTCTCACTCCAAGTTCCTAATTATCAAGCTTTGAGAGATTCTATTCCCTCCTTGTCCCTAGCACAATCCTCCGATAAGGTGTAAGTTACCAGTAGCTTGGACTCAGCCACATGGGACGTTCCCCCCCCCCCGTAATTCGCGGGGGACGTGGGGGGAAATGGCTCTAAATTTGGTCCCGGTGAAAAATAAAAAATGAAAAGAATAACAAGAGTAAAATAAGCTCAGAACGTTTCGGTAAATTCCGCTTCAAAGCATTTTCCGGACAAGATATACTGGAAACCGAAGGTAAATTATTCTACTCAATCATTGTGGCTTTGCCTACGGTACCCCCTCTGCTAGCATGTAATAAATAGATAATTCGAGTGTAGCTGTTGATAAAGTGGGTTGTTATCATAGACTCATCCAGTTGCATAATGCAGGCGCCAACCGGAACAAATTAGTGGTCCCGGAAAGTGGAGAAACCAACCGATCCCTAAATACCCTGGAGCCTCCGGTTCACCGACCCATTCTACCATCAATCCCCAGTTGTGCCCATATATAACCTAGAAGATATTATGTTGGACTCAAGGGACAAAAAAGAAAAGAGGAAAAAAGGCCCTAATTGCCCCTGTCAGGTGTCAGACACCTGCCGCTCCATTGATCTATGATTTTAATTTCTGGAAATATGAACCGGAAAGACAGTGATCTTTGAAGGTGGTGAGGCACTTTGTGTGGAGATGGCCTGCTTGCGAAATGTAAACAGGTAAAAATAGGGCGGGTCGCACATTTTTAGAGTTGAGATATTGCACTAGTCCCAATTTATGAAATTATGTCACTTTTTTCTTTTTTTCCTTTTTGGAGCGGTTTTTAGAGTTTTGTGAGTTTCATGGCCCCGACAAGAGGCAAGAATTGCTAGTGGGATTGTAGAGAGTAGGGAAAGAGTGCCGGGAGTTTGCTTAATAATAAAACTGAACATGGGTTGCGTGTGCAAGCTTTATCGGGATTAAAATCATCGGTTCCGCTGGTGACCCCTGGCTGCTGGGCTTGTTAGTAAGTAGCGCACCATAGAGGTAGAGTCACATCCCGATTGATATTCCGTGATGCATCTCTCATGTCTCAATAGTTAAAACAAATGATCCGTCTAGTCCATCGACGCGAAAGCGTAAAAGATTAGTAGAAAACCTAAATGCCCCCTCCCCTCCCCTTCCGGCCATTGCCCTAGGATCTTTGTGATTGCTCGACACGCAAATTTGTGCGAGCCGAATCTCCCCTCGATCCCGAAACAGCTGACACTATGCATGGTTGAACACTACTCTAGTAGGCTACCAGCAATGGGCATGAAGGGATCGTGTGGGTGCTCCGGGAACAGAGTGATGCCAATCCCGAAAGAGTTGATACCTTGTAAGTGGAGCAAACACTGCTCCTAGCATGCCCAAGAATCGGCTCTGGGGATTTGTCAGGATACTGCTGGACTGGACCGACAGCTATCCTAATATAGGTAACACCAGGTATGACCAGACACCGCTCTGGCGGTCCGCTGGAGACGGGCATGAGTGCATCGCGAGTGCTATGTGAACTCTGTAAACCAAAAAAAACCTTTGTATGGAAGAACTGAATTAACTCTAACTAACCTCAAGCCTTTATGCGCCGGAGCAAACGCCTCATAAAAAAAAATAGCAGTATTAGTGAGAGCGAACAGCGGCGCCGACAGTTAAAACCATCTATATGTACGTCTCAGAGGCTTGCCGAACGAATCCTGACCCATGATTAGTGACACCCGTGTATCCAAGAAGGAATCCCCAACAAATTAAAGGACTCAAGGCCATCACAAATTCATGCTTCGCCTCATCTTAAACAGTGGCATTCCCGCATTGTCGCCCTTGGACTCCGAGACCTTATCAGGCCGATATTGATATATATAGACTGCTGCGTAGGCCGAATTGTTGGCGCTGTCTCTGGGCCCTTTATATGTATAATACCCTTCATTTAAAGCATAGACACCGAACAGTGCAACCACCTGGTCGAGTTTTTTGTTTTTAGTTTCCTTAGTGCCTTTAGCCAAGTTTGCAAAGCAAGTGTTTATCGCCGCAACGGATGTCTTTTGCCCCTCAACATCCCCCTTTAGCGTTCCTACATCCGCCTTTAACGCTGTGACGTTCTGGTAACCTATTAGCTTCATTACGGGTCAAACAAAGGCTATTAATGATGTCTTACCTATTCAAACCTAAAAAAAAACGTTCGTCGCTGACATAAGGTCCAACGGGCTTAGTTGGACGACGTAGATTGTGCTTGTTGCAGGCTCCCTAAATCTTGTAGTAAATACAAAACATAGGTTAGTCAAGTACTGGGGTTGATAGATTGCTTGGGCATCGGTAATAAACCCACGATAAATTCCTCTAGCAGGGTAACAAAAAAAAAAAACCGGCTCTACTATACGTTGGGAGTTACCATTGTTCCGTCAACGTCGCACACATCTTTGGTCGGACTGAAGATGTTTAGGTTTGAACAGCTAAATGAATGTCAGTGTGGGTGCACTCACCTACACCATCTCCAATGGAACAATAGGTATTCTTTGTGTTGCCCTATATATCATACCTTGACGAATTCGGTTTTTTGCCGGCCAAATACAGGATGATACTCACTCTACCTGCATTGTGTTTCCCGAATTCGCGTTTTCTTCTTAGAAACTTCACCAAAGTTAATCAACTATAGCCATTCCAATCCAAGATCTTACTACCACACCTATCTATCTAACTATTCCATAGTTCCCAAAATTCGGAACTCATCAATGACCTATCTAATCTTCCTTCGCTTTCACCTTGCTCTTATCCCTTCGAATCTTTAAAACAACCTTCAAAATAGCCCTCTTAAAGGCCACCCTCTTAGACTTTTCCTTCTTTTCCCTCTTCAACCTCTCGGGGTCATCAGGGTCTCCGACGGGGAGGCGGTCAGGCATGTCCATGAGGATGTCGTCAAAGCTCACGAACGGTTGTGCGCCTCTATTTGCCGGTCGATCCCGATTGCGAGGGTGCTCCGCACCGCTATTGGCCGGTCGATCCTGATTGCGAGGGTGCTCCGCACCACTCCTATGAGGGTTTGATTCAGACGGGTTTGAGCCAGACATCGGTAACTGAATAAATGGATAGCTTTCTTTGTTGGATTTTCTAGCTTGTGGGGGTGTTATTGTATGAGAGCGCCGTTCGAGATTGTCTGCTTTCCTGTGGCGGTGATGTCGATTAGGTGATTAGGTTGGGTGAGGTGTTGGGGTTATATATTGTAGGAGTACGTAGATATTGAGACTGGAAGAAAGTACCAGGTCAAAAGATTTGTTTCAAGATTCTCGAGGATGCGATCTCAAGTATCAATATCTTATTTCCCACATGATTGATTGTCACATTGAGAAGCCACGAGGGATATCTGTAGATGATTCAAGTTGGCTCTCGATTATTTGGAATGCATTTGTCCATTTGGTGCAGGACCCATACCGTATCCTCCCTGAAAGTCCGGTTGGCCCATCTCGCCTTCACCGGCTCTTCCAATGAGAAGGGCTAGAGTAGGACTACTCTATTTTTGAAAAGAGAGACCATCAATCGCCATACAGGTTGGCATTCCGCACATATACCTTCTCTTCTCAACTCCACAACCGGTGTTGCAAACACACAGTGTCACTCGGAAATAACACGCGTTTGAAATGTTTGCGGCGGGATTCCTGGAGCCGCAGGATAGTTCTCTAGCGCTTACCTGGCGTGGATGTCTCTCCCAGGAAGACTACTGCGGAGATCCAAGATACCTCGGAGAGAGTTCCAGTTGATAATAACACTTGTACGAGGCCATTTTATTCACTTAGCCACAACCTTGGCGGTGGCCCTTTTTTTCAGCCTAATTTCAACTAAACGATCAGTGATCGAGGTGGAGGTTCTCGTACTGGCGTCCCTTCCTTCGATGGCGGGTTGAAATGGTGGGAAAACTGTTGTTTCGTGCCCTTACATACTCGAGTACAGTAGGGTGCTGGACTGGTACTGTACTGTACAAGTACTGTACAGTACTCAGTGTATCCCATTCTGGGCGATGTATTTTCTATCAATGTCATTGTTTTTTGCTCCGGGTAGCGAAGTCTAACACCCGAGTCGGCACTCATGCTAAGGTTATTTTGCTTTTACGGGGCTACCGAGCGCAGAGTATGGTATGTATCCCGACCAAACAGATTGCGTCGCTCTCTTTTCGGGCTCTAAGCACACGGCATCGTTTACCTCCCATACGTGTACACGTGACGGCGATTATAATGTCTGATACCCTGACCACAACACGATTGGTGGTAGTGCGCTGTTATTGAATGACTGGCTCGGTAAGCATGATAATTCATGACAAGAATGACTGAAGGCAACAGTCCATCATACCCGCAAAGGTGGGGTAGTCTAACGGGGAGAAGATGAGATCAGGCGGCAGCGAGGGATCCGGACAGCGGACGGTCTCCACGAGACCGATAATACTTGCAGCATCGCGACAACAATAATGGATCCGCAGAGACTCGCACCTTTACCGTGTTATGGAAGCTCCCGTTTCCTCCAAACACCACTTGTATGACACAAGTAAGAGTACGAGTCAGTACTCGTATGAGATACTAATGAGATACTAGCACTTTCCTCCCACCTCAAGCCCCCAATAAACAAGCATCCACTTTTAAATACAGGTAGGATACCAATGGTGCACCGTAATTCGCCCCAAGGTGAGTCACAACCCCTGCAACCTGGTTGTCTTGTATTACTTGAGGAGCCTCTTTTTTCGGCAGGGATCAGCCCATGGGGAAAGCGGTCAACGCCCAGCGCCAACACCCCTCCATAGCTCCCTCAACACCTACCCACCCTCCTCCACTCGACACTCAAAATCCCCATTCCCTTCCACCATCTAACGACGACGACAACAGCGGGTCGGGGAATCTCGCGGCAAGTTACATTTTTCGCCAGGGGTGAAGGACCATCATGGAGCCCCACCGACAGTACAGTCCTATTGAAACTGCTCTCCTATGCCACGAACCTATCGTTAGCTCCGTCCTTGCTTATCTCGCTGTTCACGAAGTGGTGATTCTAGCGAGCACTTGCCATCCGCTCCGCTCTTTCCTGTTCTCTCACTCCGGTTACTGGCGCGAAACGAATCTGTGTCCATGCCCACCCGAGCTGGCTCTCAACCCGAGAGTTATGAGATGGGATGGGCCAACTGAGCAATTGGACCACTGGCGTCACAAGTTACTCTCGGTCTACAAAGCACCTTACAATCGACCCGATGACTACGAGCTTCTCACCATTTTTCTCCGAACCCTCTTCGTTCGGAACCTGGTGCCTACCATTCAAATTACCAAGCTTGTCTTCGACGGGTTGCCCATTAAGAGGGACATTTTTTTTGAGATCACCGACAGGTTGTCTCCTTGCTTACGGGAGTTGAGTGTCAGGGCCTGTGCTGAGCTGGAGATGTCTGATTTTATCAAGTTGTTGGATTTTCAAGAGCCCGCGCGACAGAGTCATTTTCCGCCTAATCTTAAGAAGCTCTCTGTACGTTAAATGCTGTCCGGGAATCTTTGTCGGATCGGGGATTGCTAATGGGATGCAGTGTTTTGGCACCGTGGTGTACGATGAACCCTACGAGATTCGGACCATGAGTTTAAGCCATCACACCAGGAAGTCGTTGCAATTGTCGCTTTCTCATTTCCGCACACTCTTGATTGCTCGGTCTCTCGAATGTGATATCGGCCCATGCTTGCAGTGTGAAGAGAGGAAATTGGGGCTGCGCGGTGGTGACGTCTGCGCCAATTGCGGTAAGGCTGACAACATTGTGCGCTGCATTAGTTGTGAGCACATGGACAATTTAGGGAAGAGATGCGCTAGTTGCCGGAGGTGTGCACAGACATCCACATATTTGGGCGACCCGACATTTACTGATGGAATGTTCTTAGGGGCTTTTGTTCACCATGCCGTGATAAAGTTATGGAACGGTTGCCCGACCAACCCTCTTTTTGCAAGGAGTATGGGGTACCCAATTCGCAGTGAAACTCTGAACTGACAACGACTCAGGTGCATCGAACATGTCTCCTCATTCCCCGGTTGTGTCAAGTGCAATCGGTCAATGCCTCCATCGACGGATTACCCCTTGGGTAAAGACTACGGTATAACCGGATCCACGCAGGACGTTTGCGGGCTCTGCCATAAATGGATGTGTATGGCGTGTATCGCGGGCGAATATCCAAACGAGGAGGGGGATAGCAAGCGATGGACAATTCGTCAATGCACAAACTGCTTCAACAACATATGCAAGGTTGTTCGAGATTCCACAATCACCCCAAACAAACTGTCGATATTAACAGGAATACAGGAATGTGGCGAAAAGTATAGCGAGGAAGACTATGAGAAAGTTCTCAACTTACCCGCCGTCAGGGAAGCAATTTCCCTATGCACAATCTACCGAGATGTTACCGAAGCTCTAGGCGCAACTCCACCTCCTGATGCGACAATCTCAGTCCCTGGAGGGAAGAATTGTACTGTTAGCTCAGAATCTGTTAGGGTCATGGCTCGCGATAGATTCAAGCAGGTCGGCCCACCAGCAATATATAACCTAGTTATACAACGCGCAGAAACTTGGAAGCCACTTTTGCCCCCGTGCGAGGAATGCGAGCAGTGGTGGTGCTGGGAGTGCCGTCTTCGGTGCACTTGCCCTGAAGCGGAAACAGACACAGAGCTCCCGAACGGGAATGCCGAGTCTTCCAACAGCGCCGATAAGACACCCGAAACCGTTGACTGGAGCGAAATGGATTCTGAGAGTGTCGATGGCATGGACCAAGATTCTAACGAGTCCATCGATCAGAGACAGTATCCATGCTTGGTCCATAATAGTAACCCCACCCATCCTCCTCCTATCTCATCTGCTAACACTGAACTCTAGAAGCCCTCGACAACATCCACCCCGCCATTGAAGAGTTTTGCTGGTCCTGCGGCCTCTGGCCACGCGAGTACACGGATGAGCAAGATGAGCGACCGGAGCACACCACCAGCGCTGCTCCAAGTCCAGCCACTGACGGCCGTACAAACACTGGAGAAGACGAAGACATGGACTCCAGCGATGAATGGGAGTGGTACTCCCATCGTTCGCACGCTTCCGTCGCGAGTTGGGACCAGTAACAGGTTTTTAAAATAAAAAAATGAAAATGAAAATGAAGACGAAAAAATTCCGTTTACCTCCGTAGAGCTTTGGCTATTGTCCTTTTATATATATACACCCCTTTGTCTTTCTTTTGGTGGGGCTGGTCGATTGGTTAGACGTGGTTATCCTGTGTGTCACTCATCACAGAAAGCAACCGAGTCCCATCGAGTCCAATCCCGCTCAGCTCGAGGTGATATGGAGTATGTAAAATAAATTCCTCATGTTCCCCTTATCTGTTTTCCCCCTGCCGTCACTCACCAGAATTCACCCCCCCCTCCCGTTCGGATCATAACACGTCATTCAGACATTTCTTGCAGAACTCATGGGAGGATGAGAACATCGCCAAGATAACCCGAATCTCCCACCCTCGCAAGTCCCGGTTTGTAAAGGCTCGAGTATTGTTCGCGTATGGGTACAGACTATCGTAAAGTGTAATGCCGGGCCACGAAGCCCACCCCATCGCATGGAACAGAATAGCTGTTTCTGGAATCGCTATTGTGGCATAGTATTCACCGTGGCAGCCCACCCTATGTCGTACTAATAATAATAATAATAATAATTTCCCATTGCACCTTGTCCAAGATCTCCCAATAATTCCCCCCCTCCCCCCAAGGGGAGAAACCAAACATGACTTCGATATGTAGTGCGTAGGTGGTAGAGCCAACAAAACGTTCATACCCCTGAGCACATTACACTCCAATCAAATCCATAATACGATCAAGGAATTGAAAGAGTTCGAGTGATGATGCATGATCTCATTGAAATCTCGGGCTTATGGCAGCTGCTGCTGTTGCGTGTTGAATTCTGCCCCCTTCCCCCCCCGATTTAGGTAATGATACCCACGAGGTCTCTTTCGCTGAAATGTTTTTTTTCTTTCGTGCTATCTGTGACGCTGGAGTTTGTATGTATCCACATGAGGGATGGGCTGGTTGAATTCGCTGCTGTTACCACTTCTGGAGGTGGAAGCGCTGTCGCAGTGAGATGCAACGCTTGATTGAGCTCTCTGTGGGGGTGAGGCGTCGTATTTTTCCCGGCGGCAGATTTGTGGCTCGGTGCGATGGTTTGTTTCCGGGTGTGGGCTGGATGAATAGGGCCGGGCGGTGAGATCTATGTAGGCTCTATATGATGTACTCGCCATCTTACCTACGGTGTACCATTTCTGTACGCTCTCCTTCAGGAATCTGTGATGGGGTCTATGAATTTTTCCACCCTACAGGATCTATCATGATTGCCTTCTTTTCGGCAATGGGCGCTCGCGCAGCAAGACTTGTGCTGTATGCCATACTGTAAGCACCCCGGCGGGCATTCTTCCCCTGCCAACCCTTTCCATTTCCAGTCCCGGCAGCTCGCGCGAAGAGCATATTTCACGTTGGATTCACGGTGGTATCATAGACACCTGTACAGTACAAACGGCTTCCCGGCCCCGCCACCATTCTCAACCCATGACCGGCGGCAGCGCTGCGCCCGGAAATCTACGCGGCCGATACCTAAGCCCCCCACCTCGGAGAGTTCCGAAGAATGGCTTGCACTGTATAAAAAGTCCAGTAGAGATGGAAAGGGGCCGCAAAGGAACTCCGATCCACTTAATACATTTTTCTTCGAACAGGTTTTTGGAGAAAATGTGGTCCCGGCTGCCTCACCAAAGGAATCCAACGCTGGCCATTTTGCGAGGTCCGGTTTTGAGTGGGTTCCCGGATATATGGAGGGGGTGCTTGACGCCTCTGAGATTTGGGTATAACGTTGTGTGGCTTTGGTATACTCGCGTGGGCTTCCTGACGAGATGGGCGTCATCCTCTGCGGGTAAAATTAATGAGGCAAATACTTAGAACTCACTTGCCTGCGATGGTAGGAACTCAGAAACGGTCTGGCGGTGTACATATCCAGGAAAGTTGTCAGTGCCAGGCAAGATCTGTAGAGCTCTGGACCTGCCTGCTATGGTGGATAGTCGCTTCCCAAGGACCCTTCGATATCCAGGGAAATAGGAGAAACCATGCAAAACATTGCCGTCGGTGAATCACTTGAGAACCGGCTTTCAGGGTCCTCACTCCCACAATCCCGAAATCTTTTCAGGAATACTCGCCACGACACCTGCACTCCAGACCACACAACCCATCGCCTTAGGCTTTGCATCCTCGACCAGACCTATCCCATCACATCAAAAGTATAATAGGAACCGCACGTATTTCCTACAAGATGTGCCCAAACCCCCCACCCAGACATGCTGCCCCCCGGCGGGGAATATAACCGAGTCCACGGCCATTTCCCGAGAATTAGTCTTAACGAACGGAGAATCTCGAGTCGATGCTTGGTGGGGGGTACCCGCTCGCTCGGAGCGTAGACACATGTGAGCGTTGGTTGTGGGGACGTGTTCATCTCTTATCGGTATCCCCCATCTCTGATGAGGTGTAACTCAATGGGGAAGTGTCGGGAGACTCCGTAGATAGTCTGAGGATTATCTCGGGATGAGATTTTCTATCCCCAGTCGTTTCGGAGCATTGCACGCTTAGATAAGCTTAGTTAGTTTGTTGCTTGTTGTAGGGGAGCAATCGACAGAACGTCTTAGAGTTGAGAAAGTGCGGGGTGGCGTTTTGGTAATTTGTCCGATCAATCGATTCAAAGTCGGTGAGTGGTCTGAGACTAGAGTTTCACGTTTTTTATTTATTTTATTTCTCCGCCCCGGGGGGGGGGGGTGGACACAAGTTTTTCTTTATTTTTTTCCGACGACGTCGAAACTGTTGCTCGGGGGTGGTGATGAGTCGGGCTCACTCCCGCAACGAAAAAAAGTGGTAATTATATCATAGGGGACTAAAAAGTCCTAGAGAATCCTACGTGTGGGGTGTCCCGGATGTCTCAAGTCGCCGAGTGAGAAAGCGTGAACACGGGAGATCGGTGGTTGAGTTTGCGTGATACTGTATAAGCAGTGGAACATACTTTTGAGTTTATAATTATCATACAATAAAACCAATTCTTCTTTTTTTCTTTCAACAATTCATGTCTCTTTCTTCTGCTACCCCGCCGATCGTGAACCTCAACGCTAGGTTCTTGGTCTAGAGTCGGATTCTATGATACCACCTCTCAGGAGGGTCCGGTTTAACCCACAGCCTTATTTGGGAAGGTAAAAAGATTCTTAGTTTCCCAGTCTCCATGGGACAGGATCCCTCAAACTTCCTACATACTCCAAATGACGGATCGTGCAGTAATAATAATAACCCACATTGAGAGGGATCAAAATGCCTATTCCCTCCAAATTGCTTAGAGGTTAATTGGCCCTTGGCATATCAACCGCTGCGCCATCCAGGCGTTTCACGCAACGTCAATAGATATCATATCAACACTACATGCACTCACTACACTACTCGAGCAAACAAACCCCCACCCCCCACGCCAGCCGATCGCCGCTGCAACACAAACAGCGAAAAAATAAAAAAAGGCAGACAAACCCCGGCCAGCTTACCCCCGACTGCACAAATGACCTTCATGCAGCGCACAGTAGTTACAAGCCTGCAGTAGAGAAAGTGCCAAACTACCCATGACCCACGGTAATCCTGCTCAGAGGATTGTGTGGGACTCTTGAGTAAGGGGGTGTCATGATAAAGTATTGCATACCCCCCCATCACAAGCGCCAAGGGTATGATAACTACACCGTAAGAAACCCGACTCTACTCGAGTGACCGTTTGTGCCCTGCAGAGTGCCTGACATGGAGGATGGGGTATACCAGCCGGGCACCCCTGCGCCATTTCTCCTCGATGATTTCCGAGTACAGGGAGGTAAGAAGTGAAGTAAAGTATGGGGAGATCCGGATAGATATAAGATTCGTTGACCGCCCAACAGAAGGATCATGAATCGGGAAGTCTAGGGGAAATATGCACACTCCCAAGCCTGAAAACTAGCTTCAGGAGCACCGCTGTTGCATCGGGAGCGCTTGCGTGTACTTACTATCCAATACCACGTAGCACTACACATCTGGGTCAGCGCTCAGCGAAGAAAAGAAAGCGTGGCGGAAGCGAAGCAACGAGGAAATTAAAACACAATAATTTGTGAGACCGTGGCTAGATATTCTAGCTGCAAAGGCACTTCCTTTCGCTCTCTACCCCCCTCCTTCCCCTTTGCCGAAATCAACGATGGGAAGGCGTAAATCCTCACTACGAGTAGACCGTCCAGCAAACGTCGGGGGAGATTGGGAGGATTCCTTTTGAAAAACAACTTGAAAGGAAACGCGGGGGGTTGTAGTCAGTGAGACATCATAGTGCTGCTCACAGAGTGAGATCGAACTCGGGGGGGGGGGGGTAAGCAAGTTTATACCTCCTCGTCGCCCAAACACGCCGGGATCTGCAGCTTTCCGGGCCCACACCACGACAATACTCGCCCATGCAGGCACGAGAACCGCCGAGAGATGGTGTAGAGCCTAATCCGTCCCACTGTAGCAATCTCAACCACCCTTAGTAGCCCACCGGAGTGCTGCATTGTTACCATCTCCAGGCCTACCAGGACTAACACGCCTTCTTCCGAACGACAACTGCCGTCGCATACCAGCTCCAGGTAGTCTGTGGGAATGGTGTTTTTCTGTCAATGCCTGGATTGTTGAGGTAGATACCTTCCCGTTCGGGATGGGCTTCACCACTTTTTCTTGCATATTCCCAGCAGCCTCATCGATTGGTGTTTGACGGTACTTGCCTGGTCCGTATCTTTTTCTGTTCCAGCGGTATGATATATTAATCGCTTGTTTCACCCCCCCTCCCTCACCCAACAACCTGCTCCGAAAGCCCAGCCATCCAATTAAAGGCTTTAGTCTACCACTCCCCCATGTCTACTTCTAACAGCCCATGGGGGCCCTGTTCGATCATATTCCCCGCCCGCTCCACCAGGGTAGACATACCTCTGTACCTCTCCGAAAAAACCCCCCTCGCACCCCACAGCACTCAAAAAAATGCCGTAACCAACCCCCACCCGTCTTCGTCTCCTCTTCCGGGGGGTTAAAAAGCGGCCACCAGAGTGGAGATCCAATCAGCCGCGGAGTGTGTTCA